CGAACGAACGAACGAAGGAACGAACGAACGAACGAACGAACGAACGAACGAACTAATGAATGAACGGACGGACGGAAGGAGGGACGGACGGACGGACGGACGAACGCACTACAAATTTCTGGCTATGACGCAAGTACTAATTCTGCGGTGCATCGTCCCATACGTTTGCCCAGCGGCACATGGCTTACTTGTTGATGCAGAGGTCGTGCGACTCGACGGCGGCCTGGCAGTGGTGTTCGCAGTTGAAGCCGTGGTGTATGCGGCTCCAGGCGAACGACGAGTGGAAAGAGAGCGGGTTGCGGCAGCGCTCCCAGATGCGTTCCATCGGCGAATCGAGCTGGTGTTGGATCGTGATGATGGTGTAGCGCGTCAGGTGTGGGTGCGTCGCCACGTGGATCGACACGTTCTCGTAGTCGGATGCGCCGCCGAGCAGCTGATCAACCGTGCACGGCCGCGAGGGGCACTCGAAGCCCTTGTCCGGCAGGAAGAAGCGGTTGTCGAGCTGGAGTGCGCGCTCGGCGAGGTACAAGTCGTGGAGGTCCCGAGGTGCGTCGTCCGAGGCCGGGATGGATCCGGCGCACATGTGGCCGCACACCCCCACCTGTGGATGGAACGAGACGCACGTTGAACAACTAGCGCGGAGCATAATCTCAGTCGGATGCTGCAAATTACGCAACAGAAAGTTGTACTCTGCTGAAACGAGATTCTTGCATTAGTTGATGTGATGAGACATGCCCGCAGAAGGAAAGGTAAGTTACTTTGTCTTTACATTTGCGAACTAACATTGAATGCTAGTTTCCAGCCATTAACCCGCGCCGTGCTGGTGGCCTGAACTTTCCGCCGAGTGCTGGGGGGGGGGGGGCGTTTTCACGCCCCCCCCCCGTCTAACTCGGCTCCTGGGCCACGTAGCGACACGCGGTAAGCGGCAATCGAAAGAGCGTCAAAAATAAGGACGAAAACACTTCGATCATTTTTTGGGTCAGGTCAAAGGTCAGGTCACCAGAGGTCACCAAAGGTAAAATGTTGACTATTTCAACATTTTGGAAACTGCCAACGGCTATCTCGGGAACCGATAGAGCTACAGCGCCGCGGAAAAGCGCATTCGATAGCCCTTTTACAGACCTTTCTGAGTAATGTCCTCAGATTTGACCTCAGGTCAACGGTTTAGCCTCCAGAGGGCAAAAACTCCAAAAATAGCCGTTTTTACGAAAAACGTTTTTTCGTCAATAACTTTTGACTCATAAGCGGCATGACATTACTTTTGCCAGCATCGTGTTTCTCTCGTCGAGACGCGTCGAATGAACTATTCGTTGACCTTGAAAGGTCATTTTGAAAATTTGACCTCAGGTCAAGGTCATGACCAGACCGAAAAGGGTCATGTTGCATATCAGTCGATCCGTATCGTCGAGCTGAACACATCTGACGTGTTTTCACCGCTCTAGCACGTCTCTATCAAAAGTTATAGCCAAAAAACTGCTGGCGACCGTTCATGACCTGAGATGACCTCAGGGGCACACAGAGGGGTCACAGGTGCATTTTTCCTATTCAGTGTGTCATGTTTACCTATGAACCGATGTTTGAGAGCGTTTTGAACGATATTCGTCCAAAAGAGGCGCATTTCAATTTTCTCCCATTGACTTATAATGGAGAGGTCGCAAAATTGACCTGACCTTAGGTCACAGATATCAAAAATCCGAGATATACATTTTATACATACTGTTACTCATATCAATCGCTGAAAGTTTCAAAGTGATCGTTCAGTCGGTGTAGCTATAGCGAGCCTTTGAACTTTTTCTGAGGTAAGGTCACTTGACGTGACCTGGTGACCTGACCTTGAACGGCCTAGGTCTGAAATTTTCACAACATGTGCGGAAATGATGTAGGAACACGTGTACCAAAAACGGCGGCGCTGCGCGCCGCCGTTTTTGAAATATTTGCGAAAAACCTGAGGGGGGGGGGCGTAAAAACGCCCCCCCCCCAGCACGGCGCGGGTTAAGTAGGCTATGAGAAGTTGCCGCTCGGCACCTTTCCAGCCCACCTCCCCGACAAATCCTCAGATCGCCTATACCTTTATGTTGGGTACGACGGCGACATCCTCGGGGAGATGGCACGAGTGTCCAGGCACGGGCGGCAGCGGCAGAAGGAAGAGCTCCGGGTGCGACGTGAGGCCGCAGAACACCGACATGGGCACGGTGAAGTTAGGCAGCGGCGTCTCCGACCGGCCCATGGGCACGGCGAGCAGCAGCAGCGGGAACACGCCGCACAGCACCGTCAGCGCCGTCAGCAGCACCTGAACAGACGGGCAAACAGGCTTCTCAATGCTCAGCAGACTACAGACTACTCAGTACTTAGCATACTCTGAACGTTGGAGGAAGAGAAGCGGTACGTTCAACAGCACCTGGGCAAACAGACCTAGTGAAACGTACCGCGGACATGGAACGCTGAACATTGAACAGCCCTGGATGAGGTTCAAGTAACACGAGTCGACGATTATTGATCGTCGCTTCTACTGACCTTGACATTGCTGGCCCTGACGGCCACCTTGCTGGCCAGGCAGGTGCCGGCCACGGAGAAGATGGGTGTCAGACCCAGGATGATGGCCGCCTCGCCCAGCCGCAGGCCCCGCGACTTCATGTACAGCGGCAGGAACGGGTACAGACACGAGGTGGCTGTGGAAGATCGGTTTTGAAACCTAGAGGCTGCCCTGAACATCGGGCACTGGACTTGGGACGGATGTTTTGTTTTTCTTTTGAAACTAGGTCTTCTGTCCTCATGCGCGTGATGTGTACGAATTCTTATGATATGCCGCCATACGTGTATATCGGTAAGCGTCCAGCTACTGGCCGCATGAACAAGAGCTAAAGGTTAAAACTTGTGCCGGGCCTTACAACCTGTATAGCTAGTCAGGGCTATCGTCGAATGTAGGTAAATGTACTCACCTCCAGTAAGAAAGAAGAATATCACCTTGATCAGTGCCACCCGGGAGTTGTGAAGATCTTTGCAGAACGCCGACATCGTTTGGCCGAATTCCATATCTGGCAATAGGTTAGGACCGAGGCTACACCACAATCACACAACAAGCTGTCGTCTTTCTCAGCGCTTCTGGGTATTGACCACTGACGCCCCTGTATGATAAGATGGCGTTGTTTATTTCACTTCCTCCTCGGTTTCCTCCCCTTCCTTGGACTTGGTCACCAAGCTGACTTGCGCTTCACCATGGACATTTGTCGTTGGATCACTCGTCTGCCAGTGACTTTCAAATTTTCTCACATCCTGTCCTCAGCAAGGACGACTCCGTCATCGGAAAATCAAAGCAATTGTAAGAGGTCCGATGCTATAAGAACAAGGCATACCTATATGCAGATCAATTTAGAAGCGAATGAGCTTTATGGCTGCATGTTATTCACGAGTATGAGCCCTTTTCTAGACGTTGTGGCAATGTTAGCTGAAATCACTACAAGCCTGTCAGTGATTGTTCCACTCTCAGATAAAGATTTTGCCACCCTAAGATACCAAACACCAGTGGCTAGTCGTCGGCGATGTGGGTGTTCGGAATCCGTTGCACAGCGCTCGACACCTCACGTCCGGACCACGGGACACTACTGAGCGGTCCGCACCGCCGTCCTCCCGTCCCTCCCTCTCTCTGCTCTCTGCCTCTGTCCCCGCCGTCAGCGCCGATTGAGAATAATCCCGCCCGCCGTGGACCGTCAATTGAAGCTCGTTGTCGGCTGTTGGTCCGCTCCAAAGACAGACAGTAGTCGGAGGTGGGTCGCCGGCGGAGCGCCGCTCTCTACAGGAGCAGCCATAGGACGTCTGGAGGGCAGAGCCGACCCTCAGACGGAATATGTTGCAAGGTCGCTGGCTGTGGCGCAGTACCATGGCATTCAGAGGCGCCATCAGGAGAGCTGGGTGGCCAGGGCGCTCGATTTGTTCGTCCAGCTGGCCTCAGATGGGACATTAACAGGGTGAAGTGATTCAGATCATAGCGGCGTTAAGAGTTCAGCTGCAGCTGCTTGTGATGTGGGTTGTCTAATTGTTTCCAGCTCGACTGTGTGGTTCATTCGGTGTGGTACAGTTGTAACCAGTAGTATAACGCCTTTTGGGGCGACTAACGGAGCGAGCGAGAGGGTGGGCCTTGCACGTGCGAAATTTCGAGGGGGTACCTCCAACTGACTTGTGTAGGTACGGCACCTTATTAACCGGTCTCTAGCGATGTGCCAAATTTTAGCACAATCGGCCCAGCCGTTCTCGAGATCTGGAAGCGGCACCCTGCACGTGCGCACGTGCGAGATGGGTCCCAACTGACTTGTGCACGGCACCCTTCTAACCGGTCCCTAACCGTGTACCAAATTTGAGCGCCATCGGTCCAGCCGTTCTCGAGATCTGGAAACGACCCCTGCACGTGCGCACGTGCAGCAGCACCCCAACTCTGGCACATGGATATGCAGTGCCTAGTGGGTGCCTTGCCTACCTACATGCCAACTTTCAGCGCAATCGGCCAAGTAGTTACCGACATATTGCAACAATTACAAAACTGACACCTCTTCGTCTTGTACGTGGCACGTGCATAAGGGGTCACCCACATGCACCGGGAATAGTCCAATACTTGGTAGAAGGAATGAAGCTACCCTACAAAAATTACCGCGTGCAAATCGGTCAAGTGGTTGCTGAGATATAAGCCTCGCAAAAGCATCCGCACGGCCGGCCGCTCATACTCAGAAATTTCCGTTTATCTAAGGAAAGACTCCGCTCGCTTCGCTCGCTCCGTAATCAAACACATCCTGCTTTTTTATTGGGAAAGAGACCTGACACACTGAATAGATTCTGCTAGCGATTTACTTTACTACAGAAGTTTATCGTGCTACTTAATGACAGATAACATTATCCAAGGCTCTATAGAAACATTATCCATCCTTTGAAACCTTGAGATAAATGGTTCAAGCAGCTACAGTCCATCTTTTCGAAGCTGCTAGGCCTCCGATGGGTGTGAACACACGTTGTTGTTGACAAGTTCTTTATTTTCTCATCAACTGGGCACTGATTATCTGCTCTTTAATTACCGGTCCATGAAACCTGCCAGCTCAACATCATTCAGCCTCTTCCCACGACCAGCTCGCGACAGCTGGCGGCAAAACATTAGCTTCGAAGGCGTCATGACCTTCACAAATTGTCGCCACGGCCAGCCTCATGACTGACTGGTTCTCGGCATGGGCGGAATGGTTCACATCAAAGCTGCCTTCGCGTTTCACTGTCTCACAACGGACAATCTCAAATAGTACATAAATATCTGCACGATCTTGGTAAGAATATTTTACCTACTTGTTCCCACTACCACAGCAAGGTAAAATACGATATACAAAGGCAGGGCACGGACTCCCGTTCTCAATAAATATTGATCATTTCCCGGATTCATCCAAAGCGGGCGTGCATATGGGCCTGATATAAAGGCACTGGCGCGGATTTCTTCATGGGCGCGGATTTCCTTGCGATACATTCCTCTACAAAGCGATGGAATGCAAACACTGGAATTACGGGTCAGACAAGATCACACTGATTTCACCAGTTTGCTAGTGGTGGCGGCACAGCAGTCCCGCATCGCTCGCACTATCGTTCTCCATTCACACCTCTGCACTCACTCGCAGTCGTGTCTCCGGGGTCACAATCCCTCGTCCCTGGTCATCCGGGGGTTCCCCAGCGCGTGACGTGGTCAGAAACACTGCGGGTCGGACGAGGACCCACCAGACCGCTCGCACGTTCCAATCATCGATGTAAAACACTAACGACATCATGATCAACAACGTGGGACGACCTCTTGCCGGACACCCCTGTGTGACCGGCGGCCCTCACTTGACTCGACTGAGCGTCTTATGCCGGTTCATGTTGTTCAGCATCAGCGAGATGTAGGAGGTCAGCAGGTCGTCCATCTTGTAGCCGAGCGAGGTCTCGCACAGCAACTTGGAGCCCCGCACCAGGTTACCTGCAGGCCGAGTTGAACGTCATTAAACTGAGGATAATGAAGAACTGAGTTCATGGACGTGACGAAGTGAGCAAACAATGCTGCTATAGTATGCAGTATATTAGTACATGCTGGAGCGGTTCAAACGACAGTGGGATGACTGTGTTTGCCACGCGAGATAAATTTGAATACCTGCCATACTGAAAGCCGTTGGAGCGCTTAGAAGGCTAGACGAAAATACTCGCTAAGTTAAATAAAGATCGTATTAAGTTTCATTACTGTAAGTTTTTCATTACATATCCTTTATCAGGCTATCTGGGGGATCGATCGTCTAAGAACTAACTGAGACTTCCTGATATCGCTTCTTACCTATGGTCATGTGGAAGTAGGTGTTGCCCGAGGACCAGTTGGAGATGCGGGTGAAGGGCTGCGTGATGAGCACGTCCTGAAATGACAGAACAGCATCAGCTCGACGTCCAACACTTTCGTCCCCATGCCACTTGTACTAACGCTCCTATGATCGTACGTTGTTCCATGTTCAATGCCTAGTTACTCGGAACCCCGGCATCGTCACCGAACAAGTGAAGGACGACATTGCTGCCGCCTAGCCCAGTGCGACCAACCGCCTGCAGTTGCGACTTCAGCCGCTGTGTGGCGTTCGACTGGACGTCTCTATCGTATATCTCCCACTCGCCAGGTGGCGCCGACGACTCACCTTGGTCTGCGGGTGGATGAGGCTGACGCCCTGCTTGTTGATGGCAATCAGCAGGTGCTCCGGGTAGTTGGGGTCGGTCGTCTGCTTCACGTCGAAGAAGGCCGAGCCGAACGTGGGCCATCGGTAGATGATCTTGAGGAAGTTCACCTTTGCGTCCTCGGGACCCATGCCTGCCGGTGAAAGAGAGACGGAGTGAGAAGTTGGTGAAATGGACTTCAAGGAAACGCGTCGAGTACATTCCTAAATTTATTTAAATGTTGTAATGTCAGGTGACAGATGAAAGCATCGTTCGGTGAGGTGGTAATCAGACAAGTCGGACTAGACGACAGACAGACGGACTTTCTTTTTATCCTTGACATCCCGATGAACGTGTTCAACTGAAGTAGCTCGGCATTCATTGATCACTACCCTTCCCAGACAATCCTACACAATACGTTACAATTTCGCCACCTGTCACCTTTACCTGCATCCTGGTTGTAGGCGGCCACGATGCTGCGTTTCCACTCGCTGCTGCTCTGCGCCTTGACCAGGTCGGCGGGCACCAGCTCGCGCAGCAGCTGCGGCACCGACTGCAGCTCCTGCTTGCTCTCTCCGTGACGCACCCGGTAGATGAGGGCGGCCAGCCGCGCCGCCTCCTCTCGGCTGCACTTGTGGTAGCCTGAGGGACACAAACACATAACGGTGATGGTGCTGCAGTGCTGGATACACTGCTTTAGCCAGGGAGAGATACAGCATCGGGGTGATGAAGGGTGCATAATTATAGCAGTACTTCCCGTTGAAAACTAATTCGTGGCTGGCCGAGTTGCAAGAAGAACAGCGCAAAATAGACGAGTAGAATCGTAAGCAGTGAACTACGAAAAAAACGTTTGAAGGAAATGGGAAAAACTTTCATCATGTGATGTCAATAACACAAGATTATTTAAACGTTCTCATGAAACATGATGATCAAGTGAATATAGTACTGTTGGCGTACGGGCGTGATTGCCTCCGTACCTCTGAGCAGCTTCGGCAGCTCCTGGTGGAAGTGGAAGATGATGTCGGCGTTCTTATCCTTGCCCGGAACTGTATTGGTCCACAGCTTCTTCATGAAGAAGACTTGGTAGGTGAACTGAGGTATCGTGCCTGAGAGCATAGACATGGAGATGCGTCATGGTACCGAAATATGAGGACGAAGCTACCCCATAATTCTCATCTGCTTACGTGGGATGGCAAACAGCTGATATCGTTTAGAGAGTAAAACATAGGTTAAATGCATATAGCTATAGTGAATAAACCCATCGGCAGCTGCTTGCTAAGACGGCATCTTTGAACAAATCGTGAAAAACTATGAACAGTCTGCGGGAGAGCGTCGACGATAACTAACCGTCTCGTGATGGTTTGGCCTTCTTGATCCAGTCCGTGAGGTGTCGGACGAAGTCGAAGAAGAAATCTCCCTCGGGCACTGAGATCACCTTGTCGGCGATCTTGACGAACAGGCTGAAGCCTTCGCTCGACTTCAGGTTCAACCGCTGCGCGATGTTGTGACAGAAGTCCTTCGCACGAGTCGACGAGTCCACCTCGAATGCCTGGGTGAGGAGAAGCCACGTCATGGTCATCAAATTCTGCCACGTCGTGGTCATCAAATACTGACTAAAATTTCTTACTTCATAGGAGGTGATAACTGACGTTTGGGGCACAGAGTAAGACAAACAGTTTCGGATGTTATATTGCTTGGATCCCGAATTCCTCAGCTATCCCGCGAAGGCTCACCTCATCTGTGTCGTCTGGGAAGTAGACCTTGTGGAAGATCTGGGTAGTCTTGTGCTGGATGGCCTCCACCTCCACCTGGTGCGGCGGATACTTGCGCTGGCCGGTCTTCAGCGTCTTCTGGAGCCGGTGCAGCGAGTCGATGGAGATCGGATGACGTCGCGTCCTCAGGAATAGTGTTAGCTCCTGAAAGTCACAAGTGGGTCAGATACTGATCGAGAGTGCCTGCAACGATGCATGTTTCGCGCGGTGAGAACGATTTTTAGTATATCTTAAATGAGTAGGCATATAGACAGCATCATCCGAAGCATGTGCACTGGGCATACAGCTATAAACCAGCTCCAACACCTCGTCGAGAAAATAACCCAGTTCGCTTTACCACTCGCAACCCCATAAACCCCACATCACGCTATTACACAGAGTTCTGCTGTTTATTGGGCCCCGCGGTACGGTCAACATATCTCGACAAACCGGCGTATGATAAACCTTCTTCGATAATCTTACAGTTTAATACCAGCTGAGCACCTCGCCGAGCAAATAAAGCTGTTTACATTCCCTGAACTGGAAAGATAACCGCATAAACCCCATTTCACGCTACCATACACACTTTCTATCTGTCTGAGCTGCGGTGTTGCCGGCACCCGGTGCCCTGTAAGCTCTGTTTACGTCCTACCTTGAGCAGCGTTTGGCTGCAGGCGAACAGTCCTGTGGCCAGCCACATCAGCTCCAGGCCTCGCTCCTCACTCAGCCGGCTCCGGTTGTCGGTGAGCTGCTTCATGATCTGGCAGTAGATCTCGTCGCGCAGGATCTCCTGGGGAGGTGAAAAGACAGTGTTAGCAGCTGACATGGCAGAGGGGCGGTCTGCTGAAAATGTGCTATAAAGCGCCTAATGATACGGGGACCTGTACTGATAAATGAACGAATATTTCTACGCCTTTTACTTATGATCTGGGGATAGGGTTTAGTAAAGCATCTTGGTTTCAATGGTCCTAACCTTCCCAGCCTATTCCTTCTGAAGCTGTCCCTCGACCTTACGCCACCCTCGGTAAACTGACGTGTTTGAGCGGTCCCTCGAAGATGGCGTCCGTCAGTTCGTTGCCGCTGCGGGTCCGCTTGCTAGGCAGGTCCCCCATGTACTTGAGGACGGCGGTGAAGGCGGCGCAGGCCTCCTGGGACAGCTCCTCCTTGTTCTGCAGCTTCTTCAGCAGCGGCAGCTTCAGCGGGTCGCGCGAGTGACGCCACAGGTCGTCCCGGTTGCTGCGCGTCGCCATCTTCAGACTGCGAGACATGGTCCGCTTCGTCGGCGTCCTGACAAATGAAGATTAGCTTGAAGTCAGGAATACGGTCAATACATCAAAGTCCATGGAATGACCATTTTGGAATGGAGCATGGTACAGCGTCGTCGTGAAGCGTTTCCTAATGGCTTTCAGTTTGCAGAAACGCTCCTCTGTGGTTTCTACTTAGACATAGCAGATCGTGTAACTACCCTCCAGGTTGCTCTAATCTGCCCTAAAAAAAGTACTCGGGCAACCCAACGGCCAACTCTGCACAAACTATTGACATTCCTAGCAAGTCGGTCCGGCTAATGCCTTTGTGACTCCGTACAAGGCCAGCAGCTATTTGCTAACTAATCCCAGCAGGGCCTGCTGCTCGCCGAAACCTTCTATCAATGCCTGTTGAGCACCGTGCAGCCCAAATTGCTGTCAGTGTTCCCTGGCTAACGCAAGACGCGCCAATCTTATAGAATGCCAAGAGCTTGTGTAGGTCGGTGGCAAGGAAAAAACTTTTCATTTCTAGTCCGTGTTATGAATATTTTTCTTGCGGCCTTCATATTCTGATAAATTAAAGTCACAAGGCGATCTGCGACTTACGGCAGTCGTGGCTACAAAGGTCTATTGTGGGACGGCCCGATTGAATGACCGAACTCGAAGCTCCATATGTATCTCTCTGGCTGGCACGAACTCTATTCCGTAGTGAATGGGTACTGCTGTCATACAAGTAACATACGTTCATGACACGGGCGACCTTGGCACGTCCCTTTGTATCCGAAAAGCAGCTGAGCTGGAGGTTCCCGCCTGTCTCACCTCACGCACCACAGACCGGGACCGCGTGCTGTGCCACCCACCGGTCTCCGCGTGGAGGCCGGGTCAGAGGACTGACCTGAAGTGGTCGATGGAGTACTCCTCCAGCGTGTGCGGCCGCTCGCCAGTGTCGCCCTGGTTATTCTGCTGCGGCGTGTACAGCTTCCTGCCGTGCTCGGCACCCTCAGCCGCGAACAGCGCCTGGGGGCACACGGAGGCGGGGCCGGGTCAGACGAAGTCACATAAATCACTGCCAGATGACGTGACTCGGTGTAGTGTCCAGAAACATCCGTCCCCACACGCAGACCATGCGCCCGCACAATGCACCATACAGCGCTGTTATGGGGTACGATACAGTCTCTATGACAAGGTCACCACTTGCTACAACACACGAGTACGACAGAGGGGAAGGTAATGCAGAGGGGAGAGAGAATGGGATGGATAGATAAGCGGGGATGCAGCTGGTTTTGTGAGTGGTGGAGGAAATGATACAATGCAGATTGTGAATGTAACGCCTTTTGTGGCATTAGTATTCGCTGATAGGAATTCGACTGCAAACAGTGCAGCAACAAACACGTGAAACAATGCATAGGAAATAACACGGCTCCAAGGAAACATCACAATGGCATTGATGAAATTCCACGGTGACAAAAAGAGCTCATTATGCAGTGAGGTATCGGATGGCGCTAAATGGAAGTCGCATGGCTAAAGACGTGTTTTGCTAGTGTTTTTACTTACCATTGCTCCAAGAGATGCCATAACTTGTGTCACGCAGATGTGTGACACGCCCGTCTCAGAAATGCGCAAAGTAGGTAATGATGCAATGTAGAGCAGACCCAGAATGATTCGCGCTCGGGGGCCCCTGTCAGCACCCCACACTGCGCCCCACCCGTCACCAGCCCGGTCCAACACTGGATGGCGTGTGTGCGCCGCACCACTCACCCACCTATAACCTTGCCACCCGCATACACCGCGCGCCTCGCTGAGCGTTTCTGCTCGAATTTGAAGCCGGTCGCGTGAGGGACACTCGACGATAAACATCCGGTGATCGCGGCGCAGCGCGATTCACACAGGTGACGAGTGAACGGCCGGTGATGCGGCGCGAGAGGTGCGGTATCACACATCTGTCTCTACCGTCGGAGAGCGTTAGAGACCGTCAGAGACCGCTGGGAGCGTTGGAATGTGATTGGTGTTTGACTGATCGCCAGTGCCGCCGGGGCGGCGCGGCGTCGGCCGAGCGGGTGCCGGACGCGACACCACAGCGCAGACGGCCAAAGCCGGAGGTGCCGCATGGCTGCCTCTGGTCTGTATTGTATTGTTTGGACAGTGTGCCAGCAGTGGCCTGGTGAGCCCCGACATCCGCTCATAACCTGGCCCTGGTCCGGTCGGAGTCCGGGTGGTGCCTGGGGCGCTGAAAGGGGTGCAGTAGCAATGCCAAGGGCGCCGAGTCATGGGGAAATGGCAGACAGTCACAGGGGAGTCGAGAGAAGAGTGCTAGGCAGAGACGGTGCGCGGAGAGGGAAATATTTCGCCAATATCTCTTGACAAAAAAATGACACGTAAGCTGCTTAATGCCTCGGTCATGCGAGATGCATCAGTGACGTTCCTTTCTCCTTTCTAGTCGTGATTAAGTGCCACTAGACTCGAAGTCTCCACTCGGGCCCAGATCTTTGCAAACTCAGTGTGACCAAGTCTGTCATTGTTTGCATATAGACGCTATGCAGACCGTCATTCGCTTCGCTAAGCGTGAATCCGTTCCGCCACAGGTTATCCCGCATTTCTTTTATTTCACCTGATAGGTAGCTTGTGCCGCATGACACCGATACAATGCGGTGCAGCCTACCTGCCAGTGAAAGACAGGGCAGCAGCGCCTGAACGAGGCCATCACTGGCGTGGTAGGCCGTCATCTCCATCAAGCCGTCCTTGAGACGATTGTTTGTCTTCTTTAGCATTTGGCACAGTCAACCAACTTCCTCTTGTCCTTGCTCGGCAGTATCAGAGATTCTATTCGTCTTGAATCTCTCTCCTACGTTCCTTTACGATATCAGCGAATTGACCAATCAGCAATGGAACTAAACAATGGATCATGGATCACGAAAAAAAAACTTTCGATTTGATCAACTGTGATGATATCTACATGGCGATCATGATAGCATTAGTTACAAAAAAAGAAATGTTCTTATCGCCCCCTCCCTGTACTGGAGACACTCACCGCGATATCACTGATTTATCCGTTCTGCCGTGCGCTGCTGTGCGGATGAGATGTTCCCATTATCGTTCAGTTGGTCGCATTAACTGGTTTGTTGACCACAACACGTGACGTGCGAGGCGAACGAATGCTACATGTGCGCTCAACACAAATCAGTCATCAGAAATCAGAGACGTCGCTCACTCGTTCACTGGTGATTTTACCAACGCCTCACACTCGAGCCCTCCGCGTTCTATAGCACGTATGGTATGGTCGATTCGCGCGACTACCGGCGCCGAGTGTCGGCCAGGCGGCAGACGGCGTTCGACTCGCGGCGTGCGGCGGCGCCGCGTAACCCGCCTGATGACGCCTGGTGACGCCGACAGGCGTCATCGGCCATCTGCCGCGGTCACGGCGCCGCTGCCGGCCCGCCCCGCGCGGTCCGCTTAGTGCACACAGCAGAGGCACTTTCACTTTATCTCGGCAGATTGTCGTTCGTAGCGTTTGGCTGATTAAATCTGATGACGCGACCGCCACAAATGTACGAGGGGCGTTCAAAAAGTTCTCGGCCTGACCATGAAGGAGCAGAGATACGACGTCGACTTATTAGACCAAAAATGTTCATTTAGTCAAATAACCAGCGTTAAGACAAAAACATTTCGCGCAGCGCTTCGCGAGAGGCCCCAGGGTCTCCATAGCCAAGTGGGTTTTGGACCCATCTGGCACGTCCAAGACGGCTGCTTTTGTCTCCTTGCTGTCAGCGAGGCTGCCACTGCTAAGCAATTTCCTTATGTTGAGGAAGAGGTGGCAACCAGAGGTTGCAAGGTACGGAGAAAAAAGTGGCTGTGACAACAACTCGAAGCCACAGCTCACTGCTTCGCTGATCGTCACCCTGCTCATGTGTGCTGGTGCGTGGTCCTGGATCAGGCGCACACTTTTAGTCATCAGCTTCCCCAGTCTCTCCTCGATATCTGCTGCTCGCTACTGTTATCGAAGGGAGGTTTAGTATTCATCACCAATTGTGCGCCTCTGTTTTAGAAAGTTGACGAGCAGAGCCCCGTCAGCATCCCAAAATGCAACCACTGTCACCTTGCCGACTGACTTAAACACGTCGCACACATTTGGTGGCCTTTACTCAGTGTGCTTCCACTTGCGCAACTCAGTCACGCCCTTAGGGTCAACGTGTGCCACCCACAATCCCTCCACGGTAACAAGTAGTTCAATGACCTCTTTTGGATCTTCGATATAGGGGCCAAAATTTTCGCGTTACGCCTCCTTTCGAGTTTCCCTTTCCTCTGGAGTCAGCAAACGGGGGATGCATCTTGCAGAGATCTTAAACATATTAAAACGCTGTAAAAGAATGGCTTTGAGGAACCTGATAGACATCTCCGCTTCTGCTGCGTTGTTCCAGACCAGAACATTTGTCATTTTTCACAAAGAAGTGCTTATTTTTCATTTTTCTTGAGTCAATGCTGTTGATGGCTGGCCACTCAGGGGGTGACCATCAATGATCTGTTGACCAAAATTGAACAGAATTGCCCACTTCTTGACGCTACTGTAAGAAAGACGAACCTCAACATGTGTTGGCACTAGCTTTTCGTGAATAACGTTTGGTGCATTTTTCTGCAATACATGAACCAAATCACTATTCTCTTCTGGGCGTCGCCCATTCTGACCGGGAATGGCAAACTATGTTACGATTAATTAGCAGCCTGAACCAATCACAGGGCAGATTGGCTAATGGCTACGTAAGTGGACATCCCAATAACACATCATTGAACATACCGCGTTGCAGGCCGAAATTCCAACTCCTTCATGGTTGGGCCGAGAACTTTTTGAACGCCCCTCGTATGGGGACTGGGGAGATATCGATAGAGGGATGCAGTGAGAGTGGATTGATCAACTCGTTACTCGTCCTGCAGTCGCCTTTCATCTAAGGACCCGATGAATAGCTTTCTATCGACTTGCCTGAATGAGCCCAGCTCTAATTAGTACTACTGACCTTCATTCACTTACTCGCTTTTTCAATCGGGTAGTTTTAGCTCGTACGAGTAATAAAAACTTCTTCAACTAACACGAGGGGTTAACCAAAATGACAACCATTAAAAGTTCAGTCATGTGACCAAGTGTCGTGTCATGACTAATGGCAAATGGCTTGGCTGAACTGAAGGCCGCCTCTAATGTCCCGATCCCATGTATCCTCTATCGGCCAAACCAGGAGCCCTGGTAAGGCGTCGAACAGACCTCACGTGAGGCAATGACACTGGCCATGAACTTGTCAGTTCAAACGACGTGTGGCGAACTCTACGTGTGACGACGTGAGTTTGACTAACAATAATTTCTAAATGGTGTCGGTGTCGCGCAAATTCCACTTTATCAATGTCGTTAATAAATGATAAAATAATGTTAATGTTAATGGTAATGGTAATGTAATGATAAATGTTAATAAATTGTGTCCACATTCAGTGCATGCATTCATTAGTGAAGCACATGAATTTAATGGCATATGCCTAATCGCGGATGATAATTGGCACTTAGCCATTTCGAAGCTGGTCTTACGGTACCAACTAAGTAACGACGCATCTCAGATAAAGTTAGGCTTATGACCGCGGAATTTTATGACTTGAGAAAATCCCAAATCAAATGATCATTGGAAGAAAACGTATTTACCTTGACCTTCCAAACTGTCAATTTTATCCGTCAGTATTGGCTTTGGTTCCGCAGCAGCCCGGGCGCATTCCGCGTAGTGTTTTAGACGGGTGACCTCACGTCCCCGGATTTGCAGACCGACGATGAATCTGCTGCACGGCGCATCTGACGGGCTGTGACTCAGTCCCCACAATGTGCAGGAAGAGTATCAAACGTGGCTGCACGGCGGCGCAGTGCGGCAGAAAAATACACAGAATTGTCGCTAAATATGACATACGGAACAATAAAAACATGGGAGTACCAGGCCTTCGTGCAAATTGTGCAATGAACATAACGTACCAGCTTTAATTAAACAGCTTATGGC